TGACTCTCAGGTAAGCAACTGCTCCATATGCAATTGTTGATGCATCACAAAATCCATGTATTGACACGTCTTCTATGACATCACTAGTAATAAGTAACCAGCGTGGTATTTTAATTTCCTTTAAATAATTTAAGTTGTTTCTCATCTCTAACCAATCTCTTTTAGTTTCAGAGTCTACTTCTTCATCCCAGGTAAGTCTTTTCAACCATAGTCTTTGTATTATTAGTTTTCCAGTTAACAAGGCAGGTGCTATCCAACCAAGTGGATCAAATAAGCGTTGTATCTCAGCAAGTATACTTCTCTTAGTAATGGTAAGTGGCACTTCTGGCAAATTAAGATTATACTGTAGCATATCATCTCCTATATTCCATGATAACCCCAATGTTCTAACAGTTCCTCCCAGGTTCATATCCACATTTATCAATGTACTTCTTTCTGTAGGTGAAATATTTTTCATAAATTCAATACTGTTAGAAGACCATTTTTGTAATTTGAAACCGCCACGATTCAAGATGTCACTAACACTTCTCGCTGATTCAATGGCTTCACTTACTGTATCGTTACCAGATAATAAGTCATCCATCCAGAAGTCTTCCTTAATCATTCTAGTTGCTTCAGGGAAATCTTTGCCTTCATCTTCTGCAACTTGTTGTAGAGTTCTTACAGCAAGGAACGGAGCTGAAGCAATTCCAAATGTTACCCGAAGCAATCTGTAATCTTTGACTTTAAGATTTGGATCAATTCTCCACAAAATTCGTTGGTAATCTGCATCCTGTTTGGTAACCAATATCTGCCGATACATTTTCTCAATATCTGCTATGAAACAAACCCATGTCGTCTTGCAATTGTGAGCCAACTAGTAACTCATCATTAATGGAAACATTATTAGATCCCATTGAGGAGGCATTGAACACAGTTCTTACTTTGGTAGTCTCACTTGTATCCTTTACAACTGCATGATGAGGAAGGTAGACAGAGGGTTTCCCTAATTCTTCTTCTGGTACTTCTTCCATATGATTCAATTCAATATATTCTTGCATCACTTTAGTGTATTCTGTCTTTAACTTCATGTCTCTCTGTAATCTTCTCTCTAGTTGTGTTAATCTTCTTAGTGCTATATCCCTGGTATTACCTTATGTACTTAGTATGACATCTGATTTAAAAGGTAATTTCACAATGTATCTTCCTTCATTGTCTCTCCTAACATTTTCATAATAAATGTTCTCACAGAGTTCCTCTTCTTGTGTAAGTTTTCTTTGATTATCACAGTCTAACTCCCATAGTGTGTGTAACAGTTCATCAAAATCCATGTGGTGGTGCATAACTGTTATTTTCTTTTCTTCAATGTCATTGTGTATCTTTCCAAAGAGAATCCATCCAAAACTTGTATGTTGTGCGCATGGAGAGCCAGGAGGACCTCGAATAATTTCATTTTTCAGAACGGCTGCATATACTTCTACACCTAGAAGCATATCAACTCTCCCTGGTTGATTAAAGGTGGGATCTGCCAGCTTGAGACCTTTCAAATGCGACCAAGTGAGTGTGGAGTCGGCAATAGTTGTGGACGGTAAGTATGTTGTTAAACGTGAAGGCATCACATATGCTTCCACGTTGAGCTTGAAATTGCATTTGTATCTAGATAATATTTCAAGCTGGACTGCCAGATTTACTTCCGTATGTGTAGATCCAACTCCAGTGATTGTCCCCTTAGTGGGTGTCCCTTTGACTTTCAAAAGTTGTGCTGCTCTTTCACTAATAAAATTAGCCTGTGACCCTTGATCTATTAAGGCGCGCAATACTGTATAATGTCCTGTACTATTCTTAACAGTTATCAATGCTGTGGCCAGCAATGCTGTGGACCTCTTTGTCACCATATGCGACAGTATAGCAACGTCTGCATCATTATCCTCTATAGGGCCTGGTTGAATGTTTGTGCCTTCAACATGTTTATAGTTTGTCTCAAATCCATTGATTGTTTTGTGTAGTAACGAATGGTGTCACTTACCACAGATTCTGCATGATATTCTGAGTCAACCTTTAAACACTAGGTGTCCTGGTAGTAAGCAATTATAGCATAAATTCTTATTCGTCACAAAACCAATTCGTTCATCTGGTAACAGTTTAATAAATTCTTCACAGTGACAAAGGGTATGATTTTCTTTACATTTAATGCAGATCTTTTCTGTTGTGGAAATTTGGAATGTTTTTTGTTTATAAGATTTCAATTCTTTTGTTTGAGGTGTGTATGTTACTAATTCCATTGTTCTAAATTTACAATCTAGAAAGTTTTTCATTTCTTGCCAAGTAGGTAGGTCTTCACTATTTCTATGGAAACTATACTCTTCCCATGCTTTATGTGTTTCAGGATCCAGTCGTTGCACAATTATGTAGATGATAATTAAATCCCATGACTCAACAGGTAAGTTAAGGTTTTGTAGGCTGCTCAGGCATTCAGTTGTAGTATCTAATAATCCTTTTAGTTGAATGGCATTAGGTGTGTTTATTTTTGGTTGTTGAAACAATCTTCTCAAAAGTGAATTAACAATAAGTTTCTTATTGCCATATCTTGTTTTAAATGTCCCATGCCTGTTCATAATTGCTTTGCAGTCACCGATATGTGTTTGAGTAGAGAAGCCGCTTCATCAGCAACACTTGCCTTTAAGTAATGTAATTTTTGAACTTTAGATAATGTATATTGTGATGAACAAGTGAAGTTAAATATGTC